AAAGCATGGAATCATATATATATATATATATATATATATATATATATATAATCATGGAATTCTTCATTATCATTGCAAACTTTAAGGAAAGAAAACTACTTTAGATCATTTGATCACACTCTCTTTGTGGGATTAAGACATTTCCTTTCAATCCAACAGTAAAAGTCAGGTTGCACTTGTTCATATCACACACAATAATGCATATATACATCTGTGGGATATTGCATATACATATGATTTGTTATGTCACCTCAGGAAACCCCAAAAGGACTTACCTAGTAAGTTCACCTAAGAATGACCCTAGGGTTTCATCATTTTTTTTAATACTTAGGTGATCCCAGTTTCGCCATATTAATCGTAAGTCATAGGACTCCACTCATAGAGCCATTGCAGAGGTAAATAGCGAGCTGCGCAATTAGCTCACCGGTCAGACCCTAGTCTTCATGCGTGAGTTGCGCAATCAGCCCACCGATCACACGCACTTCTTGGACCTTTTTCCCATTCATGTTTTTGACTTGAACCCCTACAACTATTGCCTTTAGTCGTGGCATCAAGTCAGGCGGCGAACCACTATGCTTTCATCATTTTTGATCAATAATTATGTTGTATAGGTAGAAATAGATGGGATAGGTAATTGATATGAATTATTCTTTTTTGGGATTGTGGCAAGTTCCTTTTGTTTTGCTTTTTTGGATTCCTGAGGCCTGCCAGCCAGCCAGCCACATTCTTCTCATCTTCTTTTCCCTGCTTTTTGTTTAGTGAGATATAGTGCCCTCCCTCGCTAAGGCCAAAAGCTCACTCCGATCCAGATAGGCCCCCTAGCAGAACAATAATTGATTATCAACTCAAGCTAAGGCCAACTTTGCTTAATGACAAGATAATTGGACAAGATACTGGACTCGACTCGATGCCATTAGTCTAATATGGAAGAGTCAAAGCAATTAACTCAGTCAAATAGTAACGACCAAGCAGAGAGCATGTGTAACGGTGCACTCAAGGCAGAACTTATCACATTTATTGAAGCACCGACTCATAAATAGCAGAAGTTGTGTAGGGAAGCGCTCAACAATTACTAAGGTGTCGCGAGGAGGGGAACCGTTGCATTTATTTAGAGGCCGTTGTGTCCATTAATATTGTAACTGTTACCATTAGTATAAAGGTTGACTGCATGTAACAAGGGGACACACTCAAATAAACTTGTACTCAACACTCTACTTTGCTTGATTATTTCTTTTCATATATACTCCAATAACATTATTATGGTCACTTAACGGGTTTTTGGTAAATAGCTGTTAGCTGATTGGTTTAGCAGGTTTGACTAATTGATAACATTAGCTTATTGTAGAAAAATATTTGGTAAATTAGTTGTTAATTGATAGCTGATTACATGCAAAATGACTTTCTCAAATAGCTTATCGAAAAAGCTGCTCAAAGTAGTTTTTTGAATTTTAATATTTTGGAGCAATAAGCTGTTACAAAAGCTAATTAATCAAACAATTATATTGACAGTTTAATCAAGTCAAACAACTAATAGTGATCAAATAAAACAAAATTGACTGATAAGCTAACTATGTTACCTACGGCCTTAAATTTACCAGCTTTTTGATTCACATACATCTAGGACATTCTGCTAAACAGTGATGATCTGAGGCCTCAAAATCCCAGGCATCATCCTAGAATCTCCTTTACTTGTTATGGAATTTGTTAAAGCAGGAAAGTAGAAGGCAGAAGAAGAGTTTAAAGACAGACAAAGATACTTCAACCCAAATATCCCTTTCTTTTCTTTATTTTTCAGACACTTGGGGGGCCACACATTATGAATCATTATAGCCTCATATATTCTTTTCTTCCAACATGTAAATAACAAAAAAACAGAAAAAAAGTAGCAAAGTTAATAAAGAATTTACCTTTGAATTGCCCTTATGCATCTGGTCCCCAGGCTTATCGGATACACCAGAGGGAACTTTCAGTTTACTGAGATTTTTTTGAGGAAGACTATGTTATTAGTACTATGTTTTCACTTCACTACAGTTCAATAAACAGCACAAAATGTGTGCTAATTGAATGAGATATCTTGTACCAAGTTTTCTGTTTATTTCATGGATTGTGATGCTTCTGTGTAGTTTAGTGGAGTATTTTTATTGCAACAGTGAAGAATCTGTGTTTTTGTCTTTTCAGTTGTTCTGAAATGGAGTGTATCTTCACAGAGGTGAAATTTGTCACAAGAGACCAGTGATCGAGTTTCACCGGCAGTAGTGTGGGAGGCTGGGAGCAACCTCTCAAAATGAGAGGCTTCTTGTGTGCAATGAGCAAATGTCTAGTATCTGTTGATCAGTTGAGTCACCATGATTTATCCGTCCACAATACTGTCGGGCCGAGATGTTAGGGCACCAAGGGTTGGCGATTCCACCTTTTTGTCACAAGAAATGGAGCATATCAGGTGAGTGTATATTGCTAAGATGAGCCCCCGGGACATAGCTTAGCTCAATGGTCAAACGATTGAGTGTGTGTAGTGACCCAACAAATACTCGAGTTCGAACCTCCTCAATGAGAGAGGATCTTAGCCTTGAAACAAAAAGCAAGCCCTCAGACCCTGAGGGGCCCTCAAGTTTAAAGTTTTAAACCTATATTGCTAAGATGATGAATTATTATTGGATTTTGATTCCAGTGATCAAACAGGCCAGCCCTTGACTGCAATCCAAGAAATCCCAATTAAGATTGATATGATCCTAATTGACTTTAGAGATTTCTTGCTTGATTGCCACTTTCCTCTTCTTCAATTCATCAGCTTTTGTTTTCTTCTCCCTTTTTCTTTACACAAAAAATATGTAGTGTGTTTTTGTTTAATCAGTTCCACTGCATGTGGATCTGAGCTTTAGGAAAAGCCAATCTTCCTTTTCTGCTAAGTTTCTGCTTTCATTTCTTCTACTTGAGAATCTTTTTGTTGCCTTTGATCACTTCATATACAAGCTAAGCATTCCATAGACAGGATGCTAGACTTAATCCTTTATCAGCCTCCACCCATCAATTTCTTCTGTATCTATCAGCCTTAATTGTACATTTTTTACTCTATTACGCCAAAAAAAATTATAGCTGATAGCAAATGCGCAACGTTATTTCTTTATACTCGTCATATTTTCGACTGGCAATGTGCTGGACTTGGTCCTTGAAGGGTCTCCGTGTCGACGATCCCTCTAACCACTTGGTGCTAGACTTGACTATTCACCAGCTTTTGCCCAACACCCTCACTACAATAAAGCAAAATCCCAAAATGGTGGTCAATGGCTTGTGTTTCACAATGAACATATATTTCTTTCTTCTTTTTTCAGCTAAGCATCAGTTCTTATCAGCACAATCACATAACATATATAGACACCTGACCTGAGAATTTTATAATCCTGAAAGGATAGGTTACCACTTTAAATATGACAAAAAATCAACACATAATTTTATGTCATTCGTTTATTTAACACCTTTTTAAAACCATACGATATTATGTGTACTTCTGTGTTATTTAGAATTAAATGAGTTAGTATCTAATTTAGTTCTCGATTATAATGATTTTTATTGATTTAATATTAAATGACTTTTTGTACTTAATTGAATCTTGAACTTAATGGTTTTACCTAATTAAGTCTTTTGCCTCTGATAACTGTTAGAGTCAAAGATTAAATCAAGAAAAATTACAATAATCGATGACTAAATTGGGTAAAAGTACTACATTCAATGACTAAGATAAAACTATTATAGACGATGACTAAATTGGATATTAATAGATGGAAAATTACCAAGTTATCATAACAGGTGACTCAATCAGGTAAAACCAACAAAGTTGAGGATCCAATTAAATATAAAAAGTCGTTTAGAACTAAATCGAGAAAAATCATTATAAACCGAGAACTAAATTGGGTATTAAGTCATTACTAAATCATGGAAATACACTTGACAAAAGGACTTTGACATGAACTCTATGTAGGTCTAAGACAGCTGGTGAAATGGCTGATTTTTATTCACCCACTAACTGTGATAAACAAGATTGTCTTAAAATCTATACCCACTAGATTCTTTGATTCCTTCATCCTTACAAGCAAACAAAAAGAATCTGCCAATTTCACCAAAGGAAATTAAAGAAAATAAAAAATAATAATAATATAATGAAATAAAAAGACATACTCATTTGGTTATCCCTTTCAATCTCTAAAAAAAGAAATGCCCCTCTCCCATTATCAATCAAGACTAGCTAGCTTGCAATAGTAATTTTAAAAATAAAGTTTCTTCCATTATTCATATTGGTGGGGCTGCCTTTTTTTGCAGGGAATCAAGCAGAGAGGAGAGGATTAGAGAGAACACTAAGGATAAAAACAAACCCTGCCTACTACACTTTACCCTTTTCTCTCCTTTTGAGACTCAATTTGAGAAATATAGTGTTGATTTCTTTGGTTTTTCTTGGTATATCTCAGATTCTCTCCAACCCTTTCAAGTGACCTAAAGAAACCTCAACTAATTCTAAGCCCACAAAACCCTGCCCCTAAAATCACTGTAAAGGTATATTGCAACTCGCACAATCAGCCACCAATCAGACCCTGACCTTCATGCGCGCATAACCTGCCCCTAGATCCACTGCAAAGGTATATTGCAACACGCACAATCAGCCCACTGATCAGACCCTAATCTTCATGCACGCACGGGAGATCCAACCCACAGTTCCACACATTCCATCATCAGCTTTTTTCTCATTCATGTTTCCTATGGGATTCGAACCTCCATACTACCGCCTTCAGTTATGAAATCAAGTCAATGTACATTATTTGTGCATCGAAGGTTTCATTATTTGATAATGTACTGAATAATGTACTTTCAATATTCAGACAATACTTTCAATACATGAACTAGTTTATTAAAACTGTACATTTAGTATATTAAAAATGTACATTATGTTAGTGATCTACGGTCTAAAGGTCTATGTGGAACATGCCCAAATGAGTGAAAAGAAAAAGGATAATTTTAAAAAATAAAAAAAAGGGTTGTATAGAAATAAAGAAAAAGTTTGATATGAAATGGGAAATGAAAGAAAGAAAACGCCAAAGCTGATGGCATATATTCCCCTACCTACATAACTAGGCCTATGTTTCCAGAAATAGAGTGAGAACAACATGGGACACTTTGACACCTTCCCAATTATAAAATCAACTACAGCTTCCACATTTTAAGGCAGAACACCATTAAGGATCAAACCAAGATTCCCACACACTCCCTCTCTGTTCTCTAGATATATATATACACACCAACATATACATACATACATATATGTTTCAAGCCGCGGAATACTGCAGTTGTAGCACGAATGGCTCTTCAGAAATCAAACAATAAGGATCCACGCTTGGTTTTATCCCGCGATGCGAAGCCACGGCTGAAATGGACTCCAGAACTTCACCAGAGATTCGTTGATGCCATTGCTCAGCTTGGAGGTGCAGACAGTGAGTGTAGTCTACTTATACGTTCTGCAAAACCAAGACTTATTCTTCTTCTTCATGATTCAATTCATAATAGATGACATTATCTTGCAGAGGCTACACCGAAATCATTGATGAGAGCGATGAACATTCATGGCCTTACTCTGCACCACCTCAAGAGCCATTTGCAGGTATGTTTATTTCGAACCCATAACTTCTGGCGTGGGGTTGGCTTTGATGTCAAATTGAAGCATGTTCTCTATCTCAACTAAAAGACGGAGCTAATAGTTGGACTGGAAATTTATGTTTATATATTATATATATATATATATATATATATATATATATATATATATATATATATATATATATATATATATATATATATATATATATATATATATATATATATATGCTCAACAAACTTAAGCTCAAGTTTTGTTTATCTCTATTCTTCTATGACACAAGTATGAATTGATGAATGGTCCATGCTGCAGAAATTTCGGCTGGGGAAAAGTCAGCAATTGCAGCCATACCAAGATGACAAGCAGGGAGGTAATTAATATGTGGGGTGCATTTTTGTTGAGCATATGAAATATATAAACACAAATGTGCAATTCAACTATCAGCGTAGACTATTAGTTGAAATGGAACACAAGCTTCAATTTGATATCAGAGTTGATCCCATGCAAGAGTTAGGGTGACTATAGTACACATATTGCTTGGAGCCTCTGAGGAGGCGTGTTGAGCATAAAAAATATATAAACAGAAATGTGCAATCCAACTGCCAACTTAGGCTTTCAATTGAGATGGAGCACACGTTTCAATTTTAGTTTATTTCTAACCTTGAAAGGAGATGAAACTGGCAGGCAATGGACTTAACTGAAAAGATTTTGATGCAGATCACAGAGAATCTCCGAGTCATTTACCTGCTGCAGATAGGTGTGATGAAGCCGAGGGGCAGATGAATGAGTAATACCTGATAAAATTAGCTTCATAACGTTTTCTTAGAATGGATTTGGAACTAGATAGAATTCAGACTTGTTTCTTCTCTTTCAGAAACACGCAGATAGCTCGGGCTTTGCAAATGCAAATGGAGGTGCAGAGGAAACTACATGAACAAATTGAGGTAAGTTCCTTAGCAATCTTTAATACGGAGTAATAATCAAATATTTCGTTAGAATCAAGCACTTACCACTACGTCAAAAGTTACAGCTCGTACCGAAAACGCAACTTTATTTCCTTATACCATGCTGGACTTAGCCTTTCACCGGCCTCCGTCCAACGATCTCCCAGCCACCTGGTGTTGAACTTGGCCCTTCACCGGCCTCCGCCCAACAATTCCCCCGACACCTGTCAGCTTTAAGTCCTTAACTACCCTGTCTTTGATCGTACCGCTGCGTCAAAATAACGCAACTTTATTTCCTTATACCATGTTGGACTTAGCCTTTCACCGGCCTCCGTTCAACAATCTCCTAGCCACCTGGTGTTGGACTTGGCCCTTCACCAGCCTCCGCCTAACAATTCCCTCAACACCTGTCAGCCTTAACTGTCTTGTCTTTGATACCACTTGTTAGGGTCTAGATTTGGCCCTTCACCGGCCTCTGCCCAACATATTAGCATTGATATTTATGTAAATACTAAATTAACATCTCTCTATCAGGTGCAAAGACATCTCCAACTGAGAATTGAAGCCCAGGGAAAGTATCTCCAATCTGTTATGAAAAAGGCACAGGAAACACTTGCAGGGTACGGTTCTTGTACAGGAGTGGAGCTTGGTGCAAAAGCCGAACTTTCTAAATTAGTGTCAATGGCGGAAATGGGGGGGTGCCTGCAGAGTTCTTCAATGTCAGTACTGACTGAAAAGGAAGGTTCAGTAACAAAAGAAACCGAGAATAAACACATGAGAAGCAGCTCACCCTCATCATCTGAGAGCTCGGGAAGGATGGAACGTTCTCGAGCAAAGCAAGAAGCAGAAGACGATAGCAACAAGTCGAGGGGGGAGGATTCCATCGAACTCTCACTGATGGAAATGCATCCAACCCATAATGCATCAAATGATCAAGCAAGAAGTGGAAGGAAAAGAAGCCAAAGCACCAGCATCCCTGATAATACCTGTGTCCAAAAACCATCTGATAAAATATTCAAAGCCAGCAGCACATATGATGAACACAAGTTGAAAAAGTATGGATTCTTGGAGAATCTGGATTTGAATGCCAAGTGCCTTAGTGACTTTGATACAGGCCCTAAAGTTATTGACTTGAACAGCAATGGAGTGGAGCAATTTAATGGGTATAGCTAGTGCATGCAAACTTTAATGCAGATGCTCAGTTCACTTGATTTTGATATTATAAAGTCACTGGTGTACAGCTATAATGTTGTTTATACAAACTATATATATATATATATATATATATATCATGATTTGTGAATGAATAGCCAAAGATCTTTTCTGGGTATATAGACACTCAAGCCAAGATCCTAATTCCACCGCAAAAGCTAGCTCATAAGTAGCAAGGTTTGCCCATAATTTAAGTACCACTTCACAATTTCTTGTAGAGTCAATGTCATCTGGGATCCTCTAAGTATAATAGTTTTGCCAAGTTCAATCTTAAACTTTCAAATTAATCATTCACCCAAATTTTAGAACTAAAAGTGACAAATCAGTGTACACAACAAATCACAGTTGACATTATCTTCCATATTTTATTGGATATATGATTGTAGAAGGTCCACCTCAACTTATATAATAGAATGGTGGGGCAACCACTTGATTAAGCTGTCCTCCTATTTTGAAAATAACAAATAGCTTTGATTGCACCAAAGAAAAAAATCTTTGGAAGAAATATGGAAAGATCAAAACTTTATTTCTAAATCCACAGAACAAAAAACATTAAGTATTATACAACAGCTTTGGCTCTATACACATGTTCAACTTAAAATTTTTTAAGAAAAAAAATTCTTACAAAAATTCTCTTTATGTCTCCATTTCATCATCAAGAGCAGCTGAATTGGAAGCAATATGCTGAGTTTGAGTTGTTTCCTCAGTTCTCCTATCACTGCCAAACGAAAAGCTCACCCAAATCTCTCTCCTCTGTCTATTGGGATTCTTCTTGTTCAAATCATCACCATTTTGGGTTGGCATTTTGAACCTACAAACTGGGCAAGACCCATGAATCTCCAGCCACTTATCAATACACTTGTGGTGAAATATATGCTTACAAGGCATTTCTTTAGCTAATCCACCCAAACCCCACATTTCCAAGCAAATCGCACATTCATTGCTCTCTTCACCCTCGCCAATCTCCACACTCGGCAAGGACAAAATAGAGGATTTTGAAGCCGGTGGGTGCCCATTATCTTTACTAACCAAGTCTTGCAGCAGAGATTCCAAGCTCGAGGAGGAAGATGAGCCGCCGCCGGCTTCTATGACCACCATGCCTTGCGTCACCGGGTTTATGAGGACGATCCGGTCACGCGCGATGGAAGATCCTCCGGTCTCCTGATCTGGGTCCGAGGAATTTTGGACTGGGTTAGGGTTAGGGTTAGGGTTTGGGATGCCGAAAAAGGAAGGGAGTAACTGAGAGAGGTCTCTGTTTCTGGAAAGGGTATGCTCTGTTTGGGAATCCATTATGGAAGGAGAGAGGTTTAGAGATGAAGAGAGTGAAATGGAGACTGGAAGGGAGATTTATGGAGAAGATGATGGATGGATGGCCCACAGGAAGGATTGGAAGAATCTGGAAAAAATGGACCAATGTGCGCTGGGTGTATTTATTTGTTCAGATTTATCCGTAGTGGCAATCTTTTTCAGGTGGGCGATATTTTATTGAGCTCGGATCTGGTGAAGGCTTTAGAATTAGATGGATTGAAAAGTCAATTTTTAAGGGGTGGATTTTATAGAATTTTTTAAGGGAATAAGGTTCAAATTAGTCACTAAATGTAATCTGACAATGTAATTAAGTCATTGAACGAAAAAAAAGTGCAATTAAGTCACTGAACACTCCAAATGTATGCAATTTCACCTGATAGCATGTTAGCATCAATTTTAACGGGTTACCTGCTTACGTGGCAGTTGAGTTGACATTTTTAAATAATTTTTAATAAATTTTTTTTAAAATTTTTAAAAAACAATGGTAAGTAAGTAAAATTTAAAATTTATTATTAAAACTTATTTTAAAAAATTAAAATTAATTATTAAATTTACTTTAAAAATTATTAAAAATTATTAAAAATGCCAACTTAGCTGCCACGTAAGTAAGTAACCTGCTAAAATTGATGGTAACCTGCTATCCGGTAAAATTGCATACATTTGGAGTGTTCAGTGGTCTAATTGCACGTTTTTGGTGTGTTTAGTGGCCTAATTGCACTTTTTTTTTTCGTTCAGTGGCCTAATTGCATTTTCAGGTTACGTTCAGTGACCAATTTGAACCTTATTCCATTTTTTAAAGAGTAATATAAGATCATACATAACCAAATAACAATATTGGTAATTATTCCAATTTCACCTTAGTATCAAATATATAATATACTTTCACCAAAACTCATTACCATTACCAAGTATTTGATGTCCATTCTTATTTTAATTCCTATGTGCGAACCAAACACACTGATCCGGACCACCTCATGATTTACACTAAAAAAAAATTATATATGGCTTCATTTTTCTTGAATAACTAAATATTGTAAAAGGACTACCAAAAGCCCTTTTTTAGTTTTCAAATGACCACTTAGTCAAAATGTCAAGTTTAGTTTTATAATTTTAGGTTGATTTCATCTTAGACATGTTTCAATAAATACAAAATTTTACTAAATGTGTTATTATTTTTTTAAAAAATTAATGACTGTTTTGGTCCCTCAACTATGCTGCCGTAATTATTAAATTGGTCATCAACTATTAATTTTGTCAAATTAAATCCTCAAATATTGATTTTATAATCGATTTAGTTTTCCGTAATTACCAAATTGGATAGTGTTGGAAATCTCGTTGGTAAAACTCAAATAATAACCTTAAAACCTTATTTGCTACCTCTCACAAGTGCTAGGAGCCGACGAACTAGAGCAACGAGATGAATACAATTAGACTAAGAAAGGAGTAGAAACAGAGATTTTGGAGCTGATTTCTTGTGTGTTGGAAAAATGCTTTCTGGTTGAAGGAAGCAACCTTAAAGACAAGGTTCGTTGATGCCCAATGTTGGGACAAGCCTTATCCAATCTTTGTGATTTGATTTGCACCCTTTTGCTCGTGAGAGAACCTCTATATTATACAATTTAATAAGTTTTAAAAGAGCTCTTGTATAAATAGTGGTGCAAATCCACTTCCCAAACCAATGTGGGACAAAAGCTTTACTTTTCCCTTCATTTTTCAACTCAAATGGGTCTACTTTGAGAATCAATATCTCATTCACCCATTATCCGTTTTGAGTATATAATATATCAATCTCTTTGTCTCACTATGAAGATCCCAAATCCACTTTGATCCGAACCAAATCGAAAGTGGAACCCACTGATAATTGTACCACAAAATAGCCACTTAACATGTCATTTTAAGCTATTTTTTCCAACAGATAGACCAGATTAGACATCACTTTTACATGATAATATATTCTCACATGCATGAAGCATCATCTATAAATGTGTGTGTGCACCCGCCAATTGTTATATCGTGCACCAATGCGCCCTAAAATTTCCATGTTTCGTAAGTGCACAATTGTATAGTAGAATATATATAAACTTTTAATATAATACACATAATTTTAACATAATACATAATACATATTAACTCTTAACATAATACACATACACTCTTAAGGCGCACAATACATTGTGCACCTTGATACACGATATAATTTGCTGTGTGCTCGCATATGTAATTGTTCGCAAATTACGCTGTGGACTCGTATCCACAATGCATTGTGGACACGAGTCCAAAACGATGTCGTTTTCAGGGAAAACGCGGCATTCCAGTTAAAAAAAAAATTAATTTTGTCTCGCCGTTAACGGCGCTATTCGTTTGTGGCATTATGAATGTACAGTTATGGAATTATGAATGTAAGTTATAGAATTATGAACACATAGCTCTAACATTATGAACATATAGTGATAAAATTATGAACATAGAACTTCAAAAATTATGAATGTACAGTTATGGAATTATGAATGTACAGTTATAGAATTATGAATGTACAGTTATGGAATTATGAATGTACAATTATGAAATTATGAACACAGAACTGAGAACTCTGACACTATGAACTTACAATATGAACATATAGTGATAAAATTATGAACATAGAGCTCTAAAATTGTGAACATAGAGCTTCGAAAATTATGAATTTACAGTTATTGAATTATGAATGTACCGTTACGGAATTATGAATGTACAGTTACGGAAGTATGAATGTACAGTTATGAAATTATAAACACAGAGCTCTGACATTATGAACTTACACTTATGAACATATAGTGATAAAATTATGAACATATATTTCTATAACAAAGCGATCTGAATTTTTTTTTTTTTAAAGTGAAAGATAACGATGCCACTAACGACACCGTTACCGTGTCCACAATCCATGCTGGACATGGGTCCATATCATAACAATTGGTAATTGATGCCCAAAGATCAATTATTTGGGCTACGATTAATTGGGATAATCTTGGTCCATTAGGGATAAATGGTTTAACCTCATGGCTATATAAATAATGTCATATAGCATTATTATTATCTAAAAACATAATAAATATCAATCAAAGTTATATTCCTCATTTATGTTCATATTTTTAATGCTAATCATTTTGTACATTGTGCTTTTAGGGTTGTACTATATAATTTTTTGGACAAAAATACCCCGTCGTTATAACTTTCGTTATCTTTTCCATTATTGTTACCATGCACATATATCCAACATATAATTTCTTATATTCTTTAATGATAATAATATTTGTAGACATTATATATTGGATTATTATAATAAATAAATTTGATTTCATATAGATTTTAATTAGTAGGGATTTGTTAGTTATTTTAAAAATATAAATATTGGGCATGCATAGGCAGTGGCGGACCCAGAAAACTTGTTCAGTAGGGGCGAAACGCATTAAAACAAAAGAGATAGTTTGATAAAAAAAAACACTTAAAGTATAGAATAAATATTGTTGGATATGGACGAAAAATAAAACACATCAAAACTTTATAAAAAATATTCATAACAAAATATGAAACATAATTAATTTGATAAAATAATTCGAATAAAAAATACATTATAAACACATCTCATTATTAATATAAAAGAAAGTTATATATATGTGTGTGTAAATCTCACAATTAATTATTACGAAGTATTTAAAAGTCATATATATATATATATATATATATATATATATATATATATATATATATATCATAAACACTTTACCACCTAAGTAATATAGAATAAACCTACACACACTGAGGATTCAAACCCTAACCACTTACAAAGACAAAACACACACTTTGCCACTTAATCTAGTAATCTTTTGTTAACTTTTATCTATTTTATTTTATTATACTTATACTAAAACTTGTACTATATATATACATATATACATACAAGGGTTATATATAGGGTGGGAGTGGGGTGAGGGGGCAGCTGTCCCCACTGTCCCAATGTTGGATTCGTCCCTGGACATAGGTTTTTGCGTATCGCGCATATAAAGAACTAGTATTATAATAAGTCTATTTAGATTTAAATTAGAGTAACCTTGCAGAAAACCTAGGGTAAATTCTCTAAACTTGCTAATATAGGTAATTATAATATTTTTTATTTTTGAAATTGTGTGGATACTGTAGAGGCATGTATGGGTGGTGTTGCTACATGCCCGACACATATCATCTCAATTCAAACTTTTGCTGCAAATTAAATTCTTTGTCAATATCAATATCATCAAAGAGCTCTACATCAAATGAGAATTTGAAGAGCATGCTGAACTTTTAAGAAATATGGAGCTTACATAGAAAAGAGAAGTGTAGGTGGGAGAAATTTGAATTGCTCCCGTAAAAAGTTGGGATAATTCAGAATTTGTGGGACCCACCACAATTTATACTAATGGTGACAGCCACACATGGCTGTCACCATTGCGCCTAGCGGGCGCGTCAGGCGCACCTGACAATCATAAAGTATTATTATTTTTTATTTTAAAATTCAATTTTTTTTTTCTTTTTTTCTCTTCCCTCACATCTTTCCTTTCCTAATCATTCTTACATTTTCCCCCTAATATCCCCAACTGATATGGATGCTCTAATTGGCATCCTTTTGTGAGCCCGTGAGAGGTGAGAGAGGAGGGAGAGAGAAGAAGAAAAAAAAGAAAGAAAGAAAAAAAGTATTATGACGACAAAAAAAAAAAAAAGAAAAAAAAAAGAAGAAGAGAGAATATGCTTAACGCGCCAGCTGACGTGTGAACTGCACCACCTTGTTGAGCGCTATTGTGCACAAAACACGTAATTTCTCTCATTCTCTCTCTTTTGCAGTCCACAAAAAATCCTTAACTTGCATAGATCAAAATGTTTTCTCTGTCATTTTTTTCTATTATTCACCTCATATTAGACTCCACTATCGCTGTTAATGCTCAGAAAGATCCTAAAAATTACGTTGGTGGGTTGATTAGTTTGTTTTTATGGAGAGGTGTAACTAAAATAAGGAATGTTTTTTTTTTTCTAACTTTAAAGTAAAGTGATAGTTGAGTTGCATATGATATTCAATATTAAGTTGCAACATTGGCTCCTATTTTTCACACGTGTTGTCCTGCCTTGTGTCTTTTATCTTTTTTTTTTTTATTTTTTTGTTTATTTATTGTCACATGGGTCACTAACTATGAATATTATCTGTCTTTGTTGGAAAAATGTCCAAAGATAATATAATGTGTGAATTAGATTTCTTGTACACGCATAAAAATTAAAGTTTAACTAATTGATTGATTGCGCGACTTGCAATTTATCTCTATAGTAACTTTATAAAATAGATTCTATTTTTTTTTTGGGTAGGGATATAAAATAGATTCTATGAGTTTAAGATTAATCAAATAAAATTTAAATTACCTAAGAACATCTCCATCAGTGGTTTTTGCTTAATTTTTTTTAGAGGAGATTATGCCTACGTGGAAGAGAAAGAGAGTGTTGGAGAGAGGAGATGGAGATTCTTGCAGGGAGAGTGGGTTTTCGTCTTCAAACGTGGAGCTCGTGTGGAGAGAGAAAATGAAAAGCCGATCTCCTTTAATGTTCGTCCAGCGCATGCTTCGCGCCTAGAGGGCGCGTGTAGTCGTGTAAAATATTTGTTTTTAAATTTTTTTGCCTGACAATTGTTTTTTTTTTTTTTAATATCATATGAACATCAGAAAAAGTGTTAACATCAAGAAATTATAAAAGAGAGTAGGAGTTGAGAGTAAAAAATAGAGTTCATATAGTATTTTCCATATTAATACTCCGTAATAGAGATCCTCGTTAGGCGCGCCAACGAGGAAAAAGATAAAGCCTATCTGGCTTTGATAAAATATTAAAATGTATTCCCCTTTCCAGTTTTAAAATTGGATTTTCGAGATACGAAAATCTTCATTGAAATGAGCAATTCAGATGCCAGGCTTGGCGAACATTAAAAAACATAAATAAAAATTTTGGCAGATTAATACTCCGTATTTATTTTTGTTTTTCCACAAGTCATTATTTCCATTGAGACAAGATCACAGACTGGCGAAGATTCTACTAGATCACTATTTAGAGTATCTTCATCAGTTGAGGTTTTTTTTCAATTTTTTTTAGGTCCTAACATTCACCTCATCATTCAGTATCTAAGTCCATTAGTGTCTTGTGACAATTTAAACAAGGTTTACTATATAAATGAAGGATGAATGTTGGATGTTTATGTAGTAAATGGTTGAATTTATATGTTTAGACATGTCACTGGAAACATAAATAATATTTTGGTGTTGTGGAATTAAAAATAGTATTTTATACTTGATAGAAACTTTATTACTTGTTGATAAAAATTGTTCGTTATTTGGGACAATTAGTAGTTTGGGTATCCCCTTCCTTTATAATATATAAAAAAATGTTCGTTATTTGGTTATGTATTAAGAAGAATTAATCTTCACTTTTATGGTTTATACTTCTGAAGTTCAATTCTTTTGGGATTGATTTAGTTTTAATATCTAACTAATAATTCACCTGCGCGATGCACAGGAAAAATTATGTTATTATAAATATAATAAAAATAGAAAATTTAAAATATTTTAAATTATTTAATATAATAAATATTTTTGAGCTTCCATTGGTTAAGTATTTATTATTTTTATAAAATACAAAATTAAAATTAAAATTAAAATTAAAATTTTGTATGGTTAATATAATATCTAATTATGTGCATACTCAAATAAACTTATAGAGAGAATTTACATAATTACATTAATTTATTCTTAATTATATTTCATCTATATTATAATTTTCACAATACGAATAATAACTAAGATAATTACATTTGGAAAGCAAATTTTAAATTTTGTATGAGTAAATTTAAACTCTAATTGAACACATTTTTTTATATGATTATATAATATATAGCTATTTTATTTTTCAAAAGCTCATTTTTTATATGGTTATATAATATATAGCTATTTTATTTTTCAAATGTTGTGTTTTTTTTTTTTTTTTTTTTTTTTTTTTTTTTAATAATAAAGGATGTTGTGGCATTAATTGTAACATTAATTTCTTCCCAAATCATATAGCTTTATTATAATTAAGATGTTCCTAGGAAAGTTTGTGAAGCTTGGGAATCAAATTAAAAGATCAGATTTGCCAAAGATCTTGTGATTAAGCGACATAAAATGACTCTATCAAATGGGAGATCATGAGTTCGAGTCTTAATGAAGGTAGTATTGATTCGTTGGGCTTCAATAGGTTAAAAAGTATATATGAACACATACTAGAAAATCTTTCCAACGAGTAAATCTTGGAGTATCGGTGATAGCATCAAGGATGCAATGAGAGTGCGCAGTGAACAAAAGTCTAGTCTCTTTTAATAAGTTGAGTCATTGCATCAAGGATGCAATGAGAGTGCGCAGTGAACAAAAGTCTAGTCTCTTTTAATAAGTTGAGTCATTATGATTTACCCCTCCACAAACTATCAGGTCGGGATGTGAGGGCGTTTGGGTGGACGATTTAACCTTTTTGTCACAAGGATGCATGGAGATTGGAGAGTAACCTACCAAGGAATCCTCTTAAATGCATAGCCAGTGGAAATATTAAATATATCTTTACAAGGGTGGGTTCAAAGGGACCTAGCTACCTATTCCTCGCATGGATCTTCCATTGAACATTGTTGCATCTTTTTACAGACCCAAAAATCAATTTTATTAATGTGAGGGATTGTTGAAAAATTAGCGTAAATAACACTTAAAGTGGTAATTTTGATGTTACATTTTGAGTGGGGTCCACTCTCTATTTTGGCTAGATCAATATGAATTTGAATTCTCATAGTTGAGAGGTTTAACTTGATATGTTAACACTCAAAATCGATTATGAGTAAATAAGAAATTGATTCTCAAAATGTACTTATAAAGTTAGAAAAAAATAGAGTTTTAAAAGACTTTAAATTAAAGTAGCATTTGTCCACATTTAAAAATATATATATATGAGTTTGCACTGACATATATAAATTTAAACTTTTTAAAGAGTTTGAAACGTATTGTTAAGAGACATGCATTCTCTTATGCAATGGGGAGTGGGCAAATCAAAATTCAAAAAAAAAAAAATAAAAAAATCATTCACTCCTAACCCCAATCCCACTTGGTTCTTGTTACAATTTACCTCATAAACATTACATTTTTATGTAGACTCGACCCGTCTCACTTAGAAGAGTTACCTACCCAATTATATATAAACATGCAAAATAGTAAACAATCAAAATTAATTTTAAAACGTTCACATGTTCCATGCCATAACAAACTTGATTAAAATACAGTCATCCTCCTCATATATATAAACCAAAGCCATCCCATCACTGCAAACCTCACACCATTATTGTCCTCTAAAGTAGAGAACAGATCAGATCAGAGAGTGGGGAAAACATGAAGTCCATCTTAATCGGCCTTGTCATCTTACAATGCACAATATCTATATACGCTGCGCACAGTCAAAGCTTTTTGTACTACGCAGAACAAGTAGTGGAGGAAGAAGAACCTTTTGTGACTGCATTTGCAGAAGATGATGCTGCTGCAGATCATAATTCCGATCTATTCTACTACTACGTTGAACAGGTATTTTCTCCAACAATTCTTTGAATGTTGGATCTTTAGCTTAATTTATTATTATTATTATTTTTTGAGTAACGAGAGAAACCCGCAGTTACTATTCGAGGATGTGCACTGGGTCAAGTTTGTCTGCACTAACTTAGTTCACTAGTTCAGTAGATAGTATTTGGAAGGAGAGACCAAGGTTTGAACCTCGACAGCGGCAGTGTGGGATTATGCCCAAAGTGAGCCGATTCCTTGTGCACATCGACATTTGACCATGTTTGCGGAGGCATTTAGTCACTGTAATTTACATCCTCCCAAATACTCTGTCCGGTCGGGATATGGGGGTCTTGGGGTTGGGAATTCAATCTTTTGAGAGAAACAAAAGATTACAAAAAAAAAAAAAAATCAAACTAAATTGCTCATAACTGATCGACTTAAACCAAGAATGAGATTTAAACTCATAATCTTGTAGTTACAAGTTTGTATCCTTAAATTCAATTTTGATTCAGTTAATGTTGTTGGTCAGTGGCCAGGATCCTATTGCGACACCAAGAAAGGGTGTTGTTACCCATCCACAGGGAAACCTGCGACAAACTTCAGCATACATGGACTCTGGCCTACATGGTTGAATGGCAGTTGGCCAGAGAACTGCAATCCCAATAGTCTCTATGATGAGTCCAAGGTACCTACCACACCAAATTACTCCCCGTCCCATTTTATGTGTTAAAAAAAAATTGTATGTAATCATTTTATAGATTCTTATTAATGAATCGAATCAAGATGAAAAATAATATTTATACTGAAAAATGTAATACTAATCATGAATAAAATGTTTATTACTTATATGAGTAAATGTAATATTTTTGAAGAAAAATATACCGAGTAATACTTTTACCTTTTGATTTAAAAGTATTATATTTTTCTTCGAATTTTACATTTTTTTCTCTTAGTAACAAACACTTGCCAACATTACTTAGGGAAAATATAATACAAAAATTTAATACTTTTACATCAAAATATAAAAACATTACATTTTCTCTAAGAAACATTTTATTCCTGCTTAGTATTATATTTTTTAGTATAAGTATTACATTTTCATATTGACATGTCTCACATATAAAGATCTATGAGATGGTCTCACACAAGTGTGACCCTTATGTGTCTAATTTGATTAACGTCAATGATGCTTGATTAAAGTTATATTTAATTTAATATTTCATAAAGTATTACTCCATCTATCTCATTTTATCTATCCTATTTACTATTCTTTATCAAACCAACTCTTTTTTCTTTGCTTGTTTTTATTAGTATTTATTTATAATTTTTAAAAATGATTTGTTGTGTTTAATAGTACTTTTAATGTAGTTTCTAAATATATAAATTTCACATGCAAATTCTAAACTTAATATTATAAAAAATTAAATTGTAATTAACCTCAATCAAGCCTCGTTAACCGAACCCGACATATAAAATGAGACGGAAGAAGTCATATTTAAATTTAATACATTAAAATACTATTAAACACATTACAAATATTTAAATTTAAAACTAATAAAAAATAATAAAGAAAATAGGCAAAGATGGAAGAATAAGTTGATTTGACTAATGAGACAAATGGGACAAATAGAGTTCTTTTCATCCTTATATTTGAGTTAACTCGATTTTTTACCACAATTTTGGATCTAATTTTGTCTTTTGTCTTTTTTTTTTTTTTTTTTTTAAATTTAGTTAAGCGATCAATATAATATTGTTTTAAAATATAAAAAATTAGTACAATAATTAAGCGTGAAAATGTACGAAAATAGAAATTTTATAATATTGTGAGTTAGCATGTCAAGTCGAATACTTTGTGAAGTTATATTTATATTTTGTGATAATTGACAAATGTATAAGGAAATTAGAGAATAAACTCTGTAAAGTACAAAATATATTTTGAAATGTACATCTATGACATTATAAAATTTTCTCAATAAACATACACCAGTTACATATAAACAAGTTATATTTAAAAACTAACATATCAACATGTGATGTAAGATTAAACCCATGATGTATAATACTTGAAAGAATTGGGAGAATGTTACTTGGATTAAAATGTTATTATCATATCCAATCTTGTATTATAATTTTCTATGCCTTTACACAACTATCTAATAGTAAAGTCGATCGGTCAATCTACAGAAAATTATGATGATATTTACCATATCATTTATAAAACCTTTTGGACTAAATTGCAATTTTCATCCAATTAGCCTATACTACCATCAATGGCAAATTATACTCTGGACCATAAATGAATGCTCATTTTTATATTGAAAGTACATTATTCGTGTATTGAAAGTTCATTATCAAATAATAAACATTCAGTTTCAAAATGAATCTTTGTATTAAAAATATATTTTTTTTAATATATTTAAATGAGTTAATACCCCGAGTATAGTGATTTTGGCACGTTTAGTCTTAAAATTTCAAAATGATCACATGTGGTTCTTGGACTTTCAAATTGTTACTATCTTTGGTCCAAGTTAACCATCAATGATCCTTCAACTATCAAATTTTAACCAACCATGGTCTTTAGAAGGACCACGACTGGTCACATTTTGAAAGTTGATGCACCATGAGTGGTTAACTTGGACCACATATGGTAACAATTTGAAAGCCGATGGACCACGAGTGATCAATTTGAAAGTTTAGGACTAAACATGACTCTATATGACATTAACTCATATTAAAATTGTACCTTATGATGTTTCAAAACAAAATTGTATCTTATGTTAGTAGTCCACCTTACTGAATTTGATGGGACTAGTTGAAATTAAATGTTGTTGTAGATATCATATTTGATTGAAAGAATGCAAAGTGAATGGCCAACATTATCGTGTCCATCCAACAATGGTTCTAAGTTCTGGAAACATGAATGGGAAAAGCATGGAACATGCTCTATATTTGATCAATGTGCATACTTTGAATCAACACTTAACATCAAGGACAGAGTCAATTTCCTTCAAGCGCTTGAGAATGCAGGTATCATAATTATTGTTATGACCAAGTAAATATCCAAAAGTAAAGATCAATCTTAAATTAATTAAGGTTTCAGATCTTATAAATCTTCTCCCAAAAGGTTGAAACTTGGCCTGACAGAACATTTGGGAGGATGTAAATCGCGATTATTCAATGGGTTAATAGACAAGGCCAAATGTCAGTGCGCACAAGGGATTTGCCCACTTTGAACATAATCCCCACATTGTTATTATCGAGTTTCAAACATTAGTCTCTTTTCTCAAATACTGCCTACTGAACCAGTGAGCTAAGCTCAGATTTTATAAATCTTCTAAGTTTTAACATTTAAACTTGTGTTAGGAATCAAGCCAGACGGGAATTTTTACGAGGTAGAAGCCATCAAAGAAGCAATAAAGGCAGGAGTTGGTGTGACACCACTGATAGAATGCAATTCAGATGCATCTAAGGTTTCCCAGCTCTACCAGATATACATTTGTGTTGATCTTAATGGGAAAGACATAATTGAATGCCCAACAACTGTCCAGAGGAATTGCAACACTACTGTGGAATTCCCTCCCTTCTAGGAGAATCCAAATCCACTTTGACTTTGATCCAGATCAGGGGTAGATCTCACTCAAAACATTGCCTCAAAATGACCATTTAAATGTAATTTTATGCAAATTTTTCAAAACAATAATCCTCCGTATGAATAAAATTGACTTTGAAAGTGGAAAAAAACAACAATAGTGTTTAACGGATAATCCTTGCATAAGATAGGTAAGTGTTTCTTTGTGAAACCTCCGTTAAACGTTGGTTGGAGCAGTATTTGAGTGAATTTATCGTTCTAAAATGATTGGCAATAGATGCAAGTTTATGTGTTCTCAAACACAAAATGCTATTAATTCCATGGAAATCTAGCCCTAAAAAGATTGATTATGACAAGCAACAAGTAAAACAAGTAATGATTAAGATGTATAACAAGAATATATAATCTTGGTTTTATGGTTTTTGGGCTATCAACGGCTGACCAACAAAACTATTAAAATAACGAGTATATGAGAATATAGAAAATATAGAAAGAATATGAGTATTGTATTACTGAATATTGCTTGTCCTCTTCCCATGTATGTGGGTTTATTTATACATATTTTTGGCTAGGAGCTCTACTAGGATTAGAAATCATAGAATATCTCATATTCATGTCCTTGTTACATAGGAATAAGGCGCCCAATCCTATTATATTATGAATAATAAACCAACTATTATTACATTATGATTAATAAGTTTAGTCGTTATTACATTATAAATAATATAATAAGTCAATACGACTAGGCCCAAGTTATTCATTCATTCTCTTGCTAGGCAGTGGGGGTCGTTATATCGTGCACCGCGGTGCATAATCGATTATGCACTGCGTGTCAGACACTACAGTGTGTCTAAACCGACACTGACTCACGTATTATTTTTATATTATCAAATGAAACTATAGTTATATCAAAATGATACTGTAGTTGTGGTGAAATGAAGCTACAGTATATATAAAATGAAGCTGAATAACATTTCACATATTTGAGTGTATATTGTACAATGAAGCTGTAATTATATTCAAATGATCATGTAGTTGTGTTTTAATGAAATTATAGTGTATATAAAATAAAATTAAATAACATTTTCACATATTTGAGTGTATAAATATTGAATGAAACTGTAGTTATATCGAAATGAAACTGTAGTTGTGTTGAACTGAAACTCCAATGTATACAAAATTAAACTGAAGAACAGAGTTATTTATTGCGAAGATTCTGTTTCTTTTCATTAAATAAAACGACGTTGTTTTGACAGTGTCGATTTAGACACACTGTAGTGTCTGACGCGCGGTGCATAATCGATTATGCACCGCGGTGCACGATATAATTTACCAGGCAGTGGGCTATGGGCCCTTGTACACCATCCATCATATAAAATGTGGAGGAGAATATACAATCGTTATGCTATAGACCCGTGTCCAGCATGCATGCTGGATACGGTAACGGTGCCGTTAGTGGCACCGTTCTCTTCCATTTTTTTTTTGTTTTTATTATTTTTTTTTTTGTTTTTAAATTTCATATCACTTTGTTATAGGAGTATATGTTCATAATTTTATCACTATATGTTCATAATTGTAAGTTCATAATGTCAGAGCTCTGTGTTCATAATTGCATAACTGTAAATTGTACATTCATAATTCTGTAACTGTACATTCATAATTCAATAACTGTAAATTCATAATTTTCGAAACTCTATGTTCACAATTTTAGAGCTCTATGTTCATAATTTTATCACTATATGTTCATAATTGTAAGTTCATAATGTCAGAGCCCTGTGTTCATAATTCCATAACTTACATTCATAATTATAATTCCATAACTGTACATTCATAATTCCATAACTGTACATTCATAATGCCACAAACGAATAGTGTCGTTAACGCCGTTAACGACAAGACAAAATCAAAAAAAAAAAAAAGAAAATTAACTGGAAGACCGCGTTTTCCCTTAAAACGATGTCCACAATGCATTGTGGACACGAGTCCACAGCATAATTTGGCAATTTGCCGAGAATATAAAATTGGTTCAGATTAGGTAAAGGTAACATGACCAAACTAGGATAAGGATCGAGCGACAAATTATATTGTGCACAACGGTGCATAATGGATTATGCACCGAGCTTCTAAACGACGTCGTTTTTTTTAATGAAACAAAATGGTACCCGTTTCGTGTTGTTCCGTACCGTTCCACAAAAAGTAATTCTGTTATTCAGTTTCATTTTGTATACGCTGCAGTTTCATTTCGATATAACTACAGTTTCATTCGATATTTATACACTCAAATATGTGAAAATGTTATTTTATTTTATTTTATATGAACTATAGTTTCATTAAAACATAACTACATTATCATTTCAATATAACTACAGTTTCATTGCACAATATATACTCAAATATGTGAAATGTTATTCAGTTTCATTTTATATACACTGCAGTTTCATTTCAATTCAATTGCAGTTTCGTTTGATAATATAAAAATAATACGTGAGGCAGTGTCGGTTACTGTAGTTTCAGTTGGTAATTAATACACTAATAAACATGCGCATTCCGTTAACTGTAAGGGCGTGCCGTCTGTGGATCACACAATATACTTGCTGGGATCGAGCTAGTAGTGTTGACTTGATGACAGATGGCATTAAGCACACTAGAGGTTCGTGAAGCAAGCAATCAGCCATTAGTCTATGCTTTACATGACCATCCATTTAGATGGTTAACCGGAATCACACTATATGATAGTTGGCATATCAGTGATCATTAGTTATAATAAAACAATGTAATGCTAATTATTTCATGTAACAAGTAACAAATATATATTAAAAAGAAAAAGGATTAAATAGTGAAACACTCATCCAGGCATATCTAAGAGCCCACCACTTATGGGCTGATTACCTAATAAAGTAATAATTCATGAACAAGCCTTACAACATACATATATATCAACTCATCACTTTATTTACACACCAAGTTTCAAGTTTTCATTCATAATTTTGAGTTCTTCCAATCTAAGACGCTCTTTAACCTGGAAAATATAGCTTGTAGCCTTGACATCCACATTCTTGTCGCCGGCACCACCATCGGGTCCATGAATGTAGCCGTCGGAGCCGCCGGAAAATGCACTCTGCACCACCTTTTTCCTTGATGATGATGAACATGGTGGTGGCACAATCTTAGCATCTTGGCCAGCCAAAGATGGAGAGAGTGGCTTGGCACTCTTATACAAAGACATAACAAAATTTGTAACCTCCATTGATATGATATGATGATATGTTATCCAAAAGAAAAAAGGAGTGAAAGCAAGCTAAGTTATGGTAATGCCTTTGAAGCAGGTGACCAATTTATAGGTAGGGATCGGAGTTCAATGATTTAATAATATTATATGGTTTCAGATAGAAATGAATCCTTTTGGATGGGTGGCTAGTGGTCCCTAGCCTGAAAGGTATGATAAATTATGTTGTAAATACAACAATATTGATTTCCTTGTAACTTGGGGAATTATTCCCTGATTTCTTTTTTTGCTTTATCATTATATATTTAATTAGAGATAGATTATTTTGAAGATTACTTTGGGAGAAGGTGTGAGTATAATACACTATATTGGGGAATTTTTATTTCCTTTGGAATGTGTTTTCTAGCACCTAATTAATTACAATAAGTCCACTCAAAGATTTTTCCCATCAAAAATAACTTAAAATTTTATTTACTAGAAACACTCTGATCCATTTGTACCTTTTTTTTTTTTTTTTTTTTTTTTTTTTTTTTTTTTAAAGGATAATTTGTATTTCCCACAATTTTTAATAAAACAAATAAGATATGATTTTTTTTTTCAAATTTACTTTTCTAAGAAGAAATGGATTAGGTATTGCCTAAAATTTTTAAAAGAAAGCAATGGTAAATTTGAAAAAGTAAAAAATTAGCTAGTGGTGTTTAAATTAAGAGAATTGTTATAAGTAATATTATTATTCATCGATGATTAGAAAAAATATCATCCAAGTGTGACAACCTTTCGTGCAGGGTTACACACTTGCTGCAGTTGTAAGTTTACAACTCATATCACTATTAAAAAAAATATTTATATTTTTTTTCTTTCCACATCAACTTGCAAAGGTCCTTCTTTCGGAATAAATTCAGCCTAATTAAGAAGACATTTATTTCCACAAAACATTTCCACCAAATATTTAGGTGGCGATACATATGGATGTGAGAGTTTGTTTGGTGAGACAATCCATATGTATTATTGTATTTTATTCCGCAGCATATTCCAAGGTTTGCTTTCACCTTCGACCGACCATCCATTTTCATGTTGAAAATTAAATTTAATTTTGTCGGTTTGAATATCGACGCTAAGTTACGTCCCAATTTTTCCCTTAATTTTAATCTGAAACGACACATTTGCTATTGAGAAAATGACACTATTTCTTCATGGATTATATACATAACTTTTTTTTCCTCTCTAAATTATTCATATATCCACATCAACTCTCTCAATTATTTTAAAAGTGACAATTTCTCTTATTCTTTTCTATTAAATGGACATTTTTACTCTTAAAAATAAAGACAAAACATGTATTTCATTTTTGAATGAACCTATTGAAACATAAAGAACCAATAACGCCTCCACTGAGGCTCAAACTCACAATCTTTCAAATGGAAGTCCAACCCAAGTACCATCAGACCACATAATCTTGGTGTATTTTATTTAGTTTTTAACAAACAAATTATGGCGTATATATAGAAATCAGAATAAATGCGAAAAAAAGGACACACACTATTTGTAAATATTATAAATATAATTATAAATTAATACTATTATACTAGTACTAGTACTAGTACCATTAATATTATAATAATTATAATTATTAGCATTAATGAATTATTTGTGTGTAAATCTTAATTCTGTTACTAGAATTAACTTAAAATTATAATTATAATATTTGCAAATGGTGACTGTTTTTTTTTTTGAATGCTACTAGCTCTATTACAATGTAGTATCTGTTCATATAATAACAAAATCCTAAAATTTTAATTTCCCGCCCAATTCCTAAAAATTCTTTCTTCCCAATAAAATATATTGATTTCTACTTTCCCATTCGTACAATAATTCTGGGTTAAAGTTGTGAAGTGTTAAAAGTTTGGCAAGACATAACTTTTGACTCGGTTT